GTACCCAGGTAACCTTCAGATAGGACCCAAGGTGCCTAGCATTTCCTAGGCACTTGCAAAAGGTGTGTTCAGGGCAATGATTTTGGATGTATAAGTATCCGTACTAGGCCCCTGACTCCTCTTTTCAATGCAATTCAGAGAAGTTGTTGCTGGATGCAAACTGATAAGAAAGGCGAAGATAATAGTGTCACAGCAGTCAGAATAACTGTCTCATGGCAGGTAGGAGCTCTGTTGTACTACAACGTTCAACCTCATCAAACACAAGGCTTCTTTCTACCATGTTGTTTCCCTGTGTGATATTCTTGGGTGGGGATGGTAAACAAAATAGTTCTTAAATTCACAAACAACATGAACATCAATTTTTTTTGATATTACTAAGGTACTGGGTTTTCTGAGTTTTGTTACATAGCCCTCTTTGTCACTGGTCTGCTTGTTTGTTTTCACGGTGCTTTCAAAACGTTGACATTGAGGATTATAGACAAGTTCCCAAGTTTATGCAACCTCTGGGAAAGACTTTTGGTGAAGAAAATGCTGAGGTCTATTTTAGGAAAATATATCTTCATCTGGTATTTTCAAAATAAACATTTTAAGAATTCATTCAAGAACTACATTTAAAACTGAATTTTAAACTCATCTGAAAGAGTTAAAAAAACCCTAAAAACAGGACAAAGCTGAGATGTCATGGCAGTTACAACTTTATATTCAACCTGACTTGAATGTTCCCCAGTTTTGCATTTCAGTAAGAAAGAATTAAAAACACCAGGGTTATCCCATTCTGAATGATTCTTGCCTCTAATTCTTTTCGGTTAACTCCTGAATATTAGATGTTTGCATAACCCTGATTCTGCAGGCTTAACTATTCTTTAACTTTGCTAAAATGGAAGAGATTGGAGGAGAAGAACTTAAGAAAACGGGGATGGCCAATAATTTTCCTTTTTCTCCTACCTTTCAATTTACTTAAGAGTTTTGTTGCCAGACTAGCAGCCATAGTGGAGACTTCACTAAGATAAGAATACACAAAAACTTTACAGTGGTGCGGCTGACTTGATAGCTTGTGATGACATGAAAAGAAATCCCTTCTAGCTGGACCTGCAGTCCAGGCAATGCAGCTAAAGCTTTGACTACAGATAACCTCACTTAGCATTGTTATCTGTAATGAAAAGCAAATAGAAAAGTCTTCCGCCATACATCCAAAGTTACCTAGGACCTACAAAGAAAACGCCTTCTCACAGAAAAAGCTTTTTAACCAATCACTGACTTCCTCTTAAACAACAATTAATTTGAAATATTTTAAAATACTGTCACCGTATGTTCAACATTTTTAAAACCACCTTCTGAAAATAATATGCATGCAAACATACACTTAGTGTTTGACATTGCCTGCTTAATCCATGCACACTGTAATTTGTCCAAATACCACTTACAAACAGAACTGCCCTACTGCATTAGAAATAGTGAGATTGCATTCACAGTAGATGCAAGTTAACTGCCCAGCTGACTGCCCGTTTTCATCTATGAAATTGAAGTTAGTAATATCTTTAAAATTATGCCTGTTATTTTTAAAATAACTTAGAATTTAAGTAATTTAGCACTATCCATGCATGGTCATTCTTGCCAATAGTAAAAATATCATTCAACAGAAGTATGTACATCACCACGAACATACACTTTTCTGAGGTACAGAAACCCTATCTCTATGCACTTTTCCATTTTGTCCTTTTTTTGGTAAGTGTACACTCAAAATCCTTTTGTAAACAAACATTTAAAACCTAAATTGCATGATCAAGAGACAGAAATCTTGTTTGTCCCATTTATGGTTCTTGTTTACTAGAATTTGTTGAGGTTTTTTCCTAAGCTTACTGAATTCCAGGCCTTGGACCCCGCTGTTTCAAGGGAGGATCTAAATGGTGATGAGGCATCAAGATGAGCTGCAGCTATCTTGTTTTCTTCCAGCTGAGAGGGTGGATCAATTTCTGGGTAGGTTTTCTGCCCCTTCTCTCTCAAAAGCAAGCAGTCCTGCATAGGAAACAAATCTGCCCTTCTGAACAGCTTGTGGGATCAGGGCGTATGTGTCCCCTTATCTGACTAGCAAGGATGGGAAGATCTGTCCCTCCAGTTTTAGCTTCATGTGAAATTACTGATCAGCTTACTGCAAATACTTCAACACGTCTTCCAGAGGGAAATTGGTACTACTGTTTCTTGAGTTTAAAGAAGAAACTAAATAAAAGTCTTACAAGAATGAAATTATGCTGTACATCATGAAGAAGTAGTACAAAGCATCCACATTTTTTGTTGCTCTCCCCTGCAGCTTTAAGAATGGGCAGGTACATCCTGGAATATTTAAATGCTTCAGCATAAGCAGGGCAAAACAAGCAAACAAATCCCAGACTACTGGTTAATTGTCATACATACATTAAGCCCTTTCACAAACGAAATTGTGCTGTAGTCAAGACCATTTGGGAAAAGGGGAAAAAAATTACTAAACCAAAGGGGAAAAATAATGACTCTAAATGGGCCAAAATAGCAGATCTATTGGAAACATGACAAAAACAGGATGTTAAGGAAAAAAATTAAGTGGAGTCAACAAGGTTACACATAAGTAACACCTTAACATTAAAAGAAATCTATTTTCCATTTTGACCTGGAAACCTCTTCCATTAATTACTAAAATCTATTTACACAGCAACTAGATAAAATCAATCTGATTGCTCACACTATTTTTGGCTGACTTTCTATGGGCTCTGAGCACTCAACAGACTGGCTCTAGAGGAGTCGGTGTTTAGATGCTCTGAGTTTCTGTGTTTTGCCACCTCCAACACTACCCTAGCCATGATTTCTGGTATGCAATCTCTTCTGTACTGAGTATGCGGTATTTGGTTCCTGGGTCCGTCCCCTCGCCCCCAGCAGAGACATGTATGGAGGCCATGCTTCCTTTCAACCATATATGGAGACAAAGCATCTCCACCGGTATCTCTACCGAGCTTGTTATGAGGGGTTCTGACAGGCCCCATGGCTCAGCTCTCTTACATTAACCAGACCAAGAGCACAGTACAGCAAAAGTAGAAAAGAAAGACACAAGGAGGAAAGTAGATGGAGGATAGACACTCCTTGGAGACCTGGGTGAGACACACACCTGCTTCTACACTTCCATTCCTTCTAGGAATGTCCAGTCCCTTCATAAACATGAAGATGTTATATCAATGCATTCTAACATAAAGATGTTATATCAATGCATTATACGCTGATATCAATACATTATTTTTCTTCCAAAGTGGGATTGTTCCAGGTACAACACCCATAAAATTTGTGCCTGTCAGCTCAGCAAAGACACAGACACAGATATGGAAAATTTCTTGGAGAACACGTCCTTGTCAGCTAGGCAGAGTCTTGTGTAACAGAAGGTAAAATCCACCTGGGTCAGCTGTGCTATGGCTGGAGGTGAGGTAGAGAGAAAATTTCTGAGCCTCAGGTGTGTGCTTGGCTTTAATTTCAGTAAACAGAAACTGCAGAAGTAAGCAGACACTGTTTAATTAATAACTGTCTTGTCCCGGGGACTTCTTTGTTTTATACATCTTGGGCAGCTGAACACTGACAATTTATTATTATGGTCTTACCAAAATTATGCCACAAGCCAGAGTTGCATTTTCTATGCAGTGATTCTGAGACTAAAAAAAAGATGCATATTTGTCCCCCACATCTAACCAGATCCAAATTAGCTTTTGTGTGAAGCTCCATCCACCTCAGCATATAGACGTCAAAGAATCATATTAATATTCTTACAGCATAGCCTGTCCCTGTCTTGAGCGTGTTTTCAGCTATGGTTCTCTGGCAGCAGCTTGTCATTTAATTAGAACAGTCATGTTCTCGTCAGAGGAGAGAAAATTGCTCAGGGCTGTCAAGGCACGCAAAAACGAGCCTGGTTTGATCCTGATTTTAGCCACACCACTAACAGCTTTATCTGCTGGTCTGACCTTGGTTTTCAAGGGAACCTCTGCCGTGGGCTGGTATGGGGCGGCGATGCCCGCGGCAGTGCATGTCCCTCTCTAATCTCAGCTGGCAAAGGCTGTGCTGGCTTCAGGTACTTACTTGAAGGGCTTTTCCCCAGTGTGTGTCCGGATGTGATTGTTGAGTGTTGTGGCACCAGCAAAAGCACGACCGCAGTAGCCACACTTGAAAGGCCTGTCGCTGGAGTGCGTAACTACATGGTTCCTCAGCTCTGAAGGTTGGGAGAAAGACTGGGAGCAGTGACCACACTGGTAGGGCCTGCAATGGGAAAGAGAAACACCGTGCCGTCAGTGCTTTCCATGGAAGTGAGCAGGAAACCAACGTGGGCAGGAACATCTGGTCTTCCCGGTAATTTCCAAAGAGAACTGAGGGTGCAGTTCCCTGGAGCTTTCTTGGGAGACACGTACCCAAAACTTCATGACCTCTTTAGCAAACGTGGAGTGCTTGTGCAGGAATTGACTAAAAGTCTATGGGCATCATGCCCCACAAAACGTAATTCAGCAAGCTAGTGAGCCTGCGCTACACGTCATACGCCTGCCTTATTTCTCCCAAACTCAGCACGGTACTCCTTAGTCAGAAAGAACTCCTCACACGTTGGAGCTAAGAGGCTCATGAAATCCTCTGTCTGTTGGTGCCAGCTACAGTCTTACCTACAAATGCCTGTCTGATTCTTATACCTATATCCTAGGTGGATTCTGTGACTGTTCACAATTAAATTCTTCATATTGCTTGGAGGAATCTAGGTTTTTTGAGATCACTTTTTTCAATGGGAGACCTTGGAACAAAAATTACCACCACGTTACAATTACCTTCCTATTTGCTTACTGCTGTTGAAAATGTTTGCATTTAACTAACACATTTCTCCCATCCAGACTGAAAATGCCTTTTCTGTGATCTTGAAATGAAAGTCAGAACTTAGGCTTTCAACACCACAGTTTGTTAAAAACAAACGTAACAAACAAACAAAACTGACTGATACGTTACAAATTCAGAATCATAACAGAATCCAAACAGAGAAAGAAAAGGATACGAGACAGCAAGGTGAGACAGGACTGGTGAAATGCAAATACCATTGCTAACTAAAACAAAATGTGAAGAGGCAATGTCTGTATATTTCTGTTTGATAAAAGTGATTTAACATCAAGATCCTACAGGTGGTTTTTTTTTCCTTTTCACTTTTGCTTTAAGTTAATGACAGAGTCCTACATGCTCATCAGTTTTTGGTAAGAAAATTAAGAACTTTTCTAGAGGGGTATTAATGATTTTTACTCTGCACAACATTTTAAGGCACCACTCTTGATGTCTGCATTTCTAGAGCCAATGGCCAACACCAACTTAATTGCTCTCTCTTTAATAAATGTATATATTTAAATGTCTAGAAACCAAAACTAAAGGGAAGGAGACAATGGTGACCAAGCATGTACAATTCAATTAAGTGCAAAATAAAGTGAACTATCTCATTTGTCAAGTGAACTGCTTAATTGTCGCTGCTTGCATGACTGAACACAAATACTATTATTTTACAGTGCTTCAGAGCACTGAACCCTGATTGTAGAATTTTTTAGCTTGATTAATAGCTCAGTATTGTTCAATAACTCAATAGCTTACAATTTTAATTACTTACATTTGAAAACCTAACTGCTTTCCTACAAGTTTGAAAGAAATATATAAAAGCTGTGGGAAGGTTACTTAACTCAGATGATGTGCCCCTTAAAAAATACATGAATATGTGTAAAATAATATTTTATGAAAATAATAAATAGTGAGTATCTGTTTCTCTTATTGGAAGAGAAGTAGTAGCATGCCCAGCCCTCTCCTTTCTTGAAGTGCACAGTTAATTTGCACAGAAAACATCTATCAAACTTGACATGAAAATTCAAGTGCTGGTAAAACAAAGATGATTTGTGAATGCAGACTTGTTTGTTTGGGTGTTTTCAAATCAAACTCTTTTAAACAAAAAGAACACATGAAGATATTCTGTATCCAAGAAACATTGATTTTTTAATAGTGAAGAGGACCATTAACATCTATTAGCCTCTGGTTATCTATTTTTAACAGCTACCACAAAAAATGATAAAACACTACGTAAAACCAATTAATCTTTTATTTTTTTAACAGTCAATGTGATTAATTTCATACAGTGAAAAGTCACACCACAACTTGTCTGTAAATAGTCAAAATTCCAAACCAGTTATAACTGAACATTGTGATGCCAAGTAAAATTTTTTACATTGGCTCAAAACAAATTTTGTGTTTACTAAGGATATTAATATATGTACTGAGAATGCATTTCACTGGCTGATGCTCAAGAAAAAGAGCACTGTAAAAAATACCTTCTTGTTAGGTCACTTTGACTGTATTTTTTCCATTCATCCATATCTCGGGAGAACAACTATTAAAGAAGTTACCCTCCTTTTTGCAGGGGCTGCATTTCTCTAGTTTATACACAGGCGCTTCTGATTAATACTGAAATGGGCAGAATAAGTAATTTTTTCGAGCTAGATACATGGCACACATTAAACAAAGCTCATTTGAAAAAGAAAGCTTATAAATGCATTGAAATTTTATAACAATTTTTAAATGATTAATCTAATTTACACAATAGCAAATTCAAATATGCCAAATTTTGACAATTTTGGATATTAATGTTTTTTCCAAGAGAAAAAAAAGTCATTCAATAAGTATAAAAGTTATCATTTTGTTCTCTGGTAACCATTTTACTGTGCTCAGAAATTTTTCTTGGCAGAAAATAAAATCAATACATTGTTTTTAAAAAAATGAAAGTGGTGCGGAAGGACTGAACATGAGCAATGCTCGGTTCAGTGAGTACATTGACATGGGCAGAGCAGGACTGTCTTTGATGTAGCAGTTATGTCTTCTGCCATCACTTTGGTCTGCACTGAGACAATGAATTAAGATGGTGACCTCTTTATAGCAGAGGTTTGCAGACAGAAGGAAGAGGGATATAGTGACAAAAACAGTGGTCTTCATAGGCTGTATTTTCAAAGATGTGCTGCTAGACTGAATGCAGTCCCAGCCCAGAAAAACTCATTTCCACTGGAATAACAGGGAACATATCGTACGTCCTTGAGCTTCAAGGTATCCGTGTGAATACAAGCATAGCTGTGTCACAGCCCACAATTCTGTTGGTGCTCCAGAAAATTAATGTTCAAACAAAACCTGTGTCAGCCCCTTCATATGTGAAAGCCTACATAACTAAAATAGTCTTTTGCAGATGCACAGGCATATTTGCAAGCACAAAAGTAAGAGGTGTGATGGAACAGGTGTACCAGGGCCTCAAAGTACATGCTGACTATCTGAGGAAATATTTTTTTCTCTAAAAATTTGTTCTCCAGCCAGCAGGTACCAGAAACAACGTAGTTTTGAATGTCTTCATCATTGCAGTTTCTACAAAGTCTTTTGTAGTGCCTCCCAGATGTGAATCAAGCCTGATGAAAATCTTCTCTCAATAGTTTTTTTAAGTTACATTTAAGAACAGCTAAACTGATATGTAGCAATGGTCAGGTGTGAATGATGTGCTGACAGCCATCAAAAGCAGTTCTAATGTTTTTCATTAAACACCTAGATACATATTTTTCTAGTTCTCTGTCTTCCTGTCTGAACTTAAGGAAAGGAAATCTACTTACCTAGAAGAAAATTCTCCTGTTAGAAAAATTACACTGTTGTCATCAACCTCGTGCATCATCAATCAGGTATCTAGGTTTGGTAAAACGTACTGTATGATGGCCCACTACAGGAGCACAGGCCATTGAAAGTGAAATTCAGAAAGGAGTAACTGTAATATAATATTCCTCAGGTTTTGCAGTTATTTAGATTTTGAGCTTTTTCGAGCTTTTTCAAGTTTTTCAAGTTACATTTTCAAAATGAAACCAGTCAGGAATACTTCTTGCTCCCTAATTTAGACAACGTCTTGAATGATTTTCCTGTCTGATAAAGTTTTTTCCTGTGTCACACTTTTACACAATTTTCTTACTTTTGTAGCTGATTTTTTTGTAGCTGTAGTAGGGTGAAACTACGTCATGTATAGGACCAGTACAAAAATCATGTTCCCCGATGAACCTTATTGAAACCTGCCCAAAGCTCATGCTTTGTGCAGGGGATGAGTATCCCTATAACAATAGAAATATCCGTATTTTCGCACCTAAAATAGATGCTGACAGATAACTGTATGTTTAGATTGACTATTTTCAGATTTTCATTTAGCAAAAGTGACATAGCCTTTAATTATTTATCTTGTACTATTCCTCTGCTAGAAAAAAAATTATTTTCCAACTCCTGAATCGTAAGATAATATAAACTCATTTTCTACATCGTAAATAATTCATGGTCTGAATTATTAGAACCCTGAAAGATCTTGTAATTATTTTCCACTGAATTTTCAAATTCTCTTCTTCATGATGAACAGGTTTCTAGTGAGGCCTCTTCAGAAAATTCACCTGTTTTCAAGGGGCATGTGGAATCCCAATGCAATCCTTAGAAGTGGAATTGCTTGTAATGATGATTTTCTGAATACCTGTAACTCTATCACTCAAACACTGTCAGACCAGGGAGACAAAATAGCACATTGCTGTAATTTTTTCCCCTTAGAAAAAGCTAGAAAAGCACCAGCTGAAAGAAGAGAGACCGACATGCGGTTGAAAGTGGTTTTCTCCTTGTTGAGGACTAAGAAGAAGTGAGAAACCAACTTGATTGCTGCCAGAGTCTCAAAGCGTGGGACACAGGGCTCCATTAAACCCAAGGCAGGGTTTCACGGCATGGTAGCAGGAAGGCTGTTGCACCACAGCCTCTGCAAAAAAATGAAAGCAGGGCATGTTGAAATGGGAGCAGCATCAGCTTTCAGGGCCAAGCCTCCGTACAAGACGCAGCGTTAGGAGCACAGCTGCAGCCAGAGGAGTTGGGTCACAGTTCTCCTAACGGAAAGGTATTCCAGAGGGATGCCTTCTCCTAGCAAGTTGAACTAGGAGGCTGACGAACAAACTGACACCTAAGGATACCGCTAGCTTGCACACAGAAGCGTTCCTAGCACCGGCATGTCAACGGTGGGTTACGTTCACCGCCCCCGGATTCTACATCCCCTACAGCCTTGGCGTTCCCCTTCGGCAGCACGGCTACTGCCCTGAGCACTTCAGGTACCACGCAGCAGCAGGGATGGCAGAGCTGGACCCACTGGGAGTTTGGGGATTGTCTCTCACAAATGTAAAACTAGGAAAAGCAGAAAGTTGGGACACTTGAAGCGTTTTCAAACTTCTGAAGCTGTCAGGGAGAGGTGCTCCGCTGTACACCCTTTGCTGTTATTAACTATGAGTACTGGGAGTTTGAAAACCTTTGTGAAAAGATTATGCAAGAACAAGGATTAAATTCAGCATGATGTTTACTTTAATTGAGCAATATTCCATAGCCACTCTATAAACAGAAATAGACAACTCTTGCTCACAACATTTACTTTTTTTAGGTCTCTCTTGGGGGATGTTTAAATTAATTCATGGACTTGGGGAGAACATCAAAGTCAAAGACACAGAATCCATAAAGAAGAAGATAAATACAAAATGGGCTGAGTCATGGTCTTAGAGAAAATGATCTGTTAATTGGCAACTTCAAAACCCCAAGCTCCTGTTTTTAAAAAAACCTCACAATTGAGGTGCTACAGCAAAACGTGAGTACAATATCTTTTGCGTAAACAAGAATTGCAAGGGCCAGATAACATCCACAATCTATCAGCCACGGACACTCTTATAGAGTGGGTTTTCCCTCAAATTATCAGCTTAAATACAATCACTGAGAATATATATCACACAGATGTACATATTGTATATAAAATTGTGCCACAGACAGCTCTTGGGAGCTACAGCCATCTGCCTTCCCTCAACACCAATACATCCTGAATCTGGTGATCATAGTAAGAAAGAAGAAAGATGTCATTAAAAGACACTGTGTCATTATCAGAAAAGTGATTGCTGTTAAAAAAAAAAAAAAAATGCTCTAAAAATTATTTACTGTGATCAAAGACTTTTGGTTACTCCTTTCTGGAGCCCACCCAGATAGGATTGTTGGGAATTTCTGCAGCAAGGAGAAGAAAAAAAAATAAAACCAAAACCAAACACAAAGCCAAAAAACAGAAGAGAAAATACATTTCTGACTCCTGCTTCAAGAAATAGTTGCTCAAACTGCTTCTGCCTGGGCAAGGCTAAAAAAAGTCCGAAATGCTCAGAAAGTCACAAAATTCAAATCTTGATGGATTTACGTCTTCACCTCCCATACCCACTCCAACCCCAATTACCACAAAGTTCAAAGAGAAGACCCACAAAATATAACAAGCTAAAAAAATCTCAGTGGAAGGGAAGGAGTAAGTTATAAGTAAACCAGTAAATAATATAAAAGTAAATTTTAATTTAAAATAAAATCCTAATCTTAATCTAAAATAACGCAGGTGATTATTTTAATAATTCTCCCTATTTTAGGTTCTTTTATTTATTTATTTATTTATTTATTTAATGACCTGCCTGTTAAATAGAAGCATTTCTTTCTTACTGCCTAACAGAATTAAGTACGTTTTGGCCTTTTTTTATATCTACTCTCATTCATATGTTTTCTGAATCTAAGTGGCTTTTAAATAATTTCTTTTTTTAAATTTCTCAAGCGCCAAGTAATCTGCTTTTCTCAAATTTCAGTCCATGAATGGGGCTCCTGTAGAGATTCAAAGATGTTTTCCCCTGCAGCTCATGCTGGAGGTAATCAGCATTGTTGAAAAACAAATACAAAGCCAGAACAGATAGTCTAAAGTAATTTCCTAGAGAATACAGGCCCTGCTGCTTCAGTCACATCAAAGATACAGTGGCTGGGGGGG